TGAACAGCATCTCCAGCTCAAGTTGTGCGCAATGCAGGACACCTGGGCTCCAAGGACGTCTGGATCCTGAAGATGTCTGCATGCTCAGGTTGTCCAGACTCCAAAGATGATCTTCTATTTTGGCCCAAACGTGTGAAAGTCCCATTGTTTGAACTCTTGGTCTCTGTATTTTCTACTGACCTGACAGAGCCTGACCCTTGAAAGTTCTGAATTCCCCTTGATATTTCAAACACTGCACCCTGCAAGCTGTGTGGCTTAGGACAAGTGACTTAATCTCTTTCTTGGTCTCAGTTTCTTCATCTGTAAAATGGTCCCCCTGCCCCACTTCATAAATGGTTATGAGAACAAAGCGTGCAAGCCCTCAGAAACCATGCAGGATGGTGCCGAGACCCTCGTCGGAGCCACATTCAGGCTACTGATATTATACCACTGGCTCACTCATCATTGACACCTGTGGCATTTCCCCTGCCACTGGTGTGAGAGTTTGTGGATCGCTTACAAAATGAAATGAGAAGGGACGAAAAACAGAAGAATATAAAAAAAGGTTGACATTTGTATTTTCACTAGCTGTAAGTGAATTTGAAAAATGATGGCTTCATTTTCACAAAATATCAAGACTGGAGCAACAATAAGTCTACAACATCTGATCCTGGAAGAAACTGGCCTGGATGGAAAGAAATGCTCTGGGGAAAACATAAGATTGCGGTTTCCAGGTAATGTGGACAGTCCAGGACCCCACAGGCACCCACTATGCTGACTGAGGCACAGCAACCCTGCGGGACAGAGCACAGCCCACAGGGGTTTCCAGCCTCTCGCCTGTGAAAGCAGACCACCATGGCCTCCCACGAAGCAACTGGTGTGTTCGAACCACTAACTTTTCAGCTAGCAGTTCAATGCTGAACCACTGTGCAAACCTACAGTCATCTGGCCAGTTCTGAGTCATCACGACGTGCTGGACAGAGAAGCGATTCTGTGCGGGCCTCCTGGGCTTCACCCTCAATGGGAGGCAACTTCCACAGATGACAGCTGGTTTACAACCAATGGCCTTTCCACTAACAGGAAGGTGTTTAATCATTGCGCCAACAGGGTTCCTTACAGGAGTCATCCAAACATTAATATCTAAACGGATTTTTAAAAAGATGTTAAATGGATGAACAAATCAAATAAGACTTATAGAACGTGCCCCGCAAACAAGCTATGTCAGGGACAGTAAGTCTAGGACACTAAAATGAAGACGATCAAGTTAGGTGGTAAGCTCTGGGAATGAGGCAAGAGTTAATTAGTAAAAAGAGGTGCTCCTGTGGGATCAATCAACGTGAATAGCATTTATAGAGCACGGTGGTGTACCAAGGAAGCTATGGTGGCACTGTAGGGAAGAAACTGTCCTGCAAACCCAAAGGAAGGCAGTTCAAATCCCCAAGCCGCCTCACGGGAGAACGTGAGCCACCTCCTCGGTGATTACAGCCTCTGCTAGCCCACTGGAGAGCCAGCGGAGACAAAAACAAGGTAAGATTTTTAGCTGACTTTTCTGTATCAGAGGAGGCATGGTGGCTTATTGTGTAAGGAGTTAATTGTAAACCTAAAGTCAGGCAGTTCAAATCCACCAGCTGCTCAGTGGGAGAGGCCGAGACAGATGATTTAAAGCCTCTGAAGCTCTCCCACGTTCGGTTCTTACTGGACGGTGCAGACAACAACAATGCCACACCAGGCACAGCCCCAAACGCTTCTGGTAAGCAGCCCTTTTAATGTTTGTGAGAGAACTGAGGACCACTGACCTCCACGGTGTGTGTGTCTTCAAGCTGACCCCCAGCAGCTCCATGTGACAGGATAGAACTGCCCCAAACGGCTTTCTAGACTATAGTCACTACCGGAACAGACCACTTGGACTGTCCATCCAGAGCTGCTCAGTGGCTTTGAACTTCCACCCTTATGGTCAGCAGACAGTTGCTCACCCATTGCACACCAGGCTCCACATCCCTGTTGTTGGCACACGGGAATGGAGACGGCAAAGAAAACGCTTTCCTGACAAGAGCTAGCAGATGTCCATGGAAATGCCAGGTGGGTCCCTTTAGATTTGTTTTTTTCTTTGTTTTAAAGAGATAATTTTTTTAAAAAGCTTTTTTTTGTGTTAAATAAAATTTTAATTGTGATTTTAATGAACTGTTGCACATTTTACCCCCTCTCTTTCCCCTCTTCTTCCCCCATTTCAAGCTTTTTAAGTTTGCCTATCAGGGCCAAAAAGTACTTCCTAGTCTAAAAGAGAAAACAAATGAGCATCTGAATTCTCCAGGGAAGAATAATGAGATGACAGCTGCTTATTGTCAGTGTACCTTTTTCTGAGTGTTTGGAGAACAAAAAAATGACTAGATCATTAGAACAGGGTGAAACAGCTGGTTGGGAGCAATCACCCGGTGGAAGTGACCTGCAGACACAATATCCGGTGAGCAAAAATAGCAGAGCTGAAAACCAGACCACGAATGCAACAATCAAGGGGACCTGGCACCTGTCACAGCACAGAGACCTAATGTGAGAAGATTGTATGGTTTCATAAAGAGGCCACAAAAGAATCACAGAAAACAATCGACTCTGAGTAGTGGTGGTTTTATTGTTTTGTGCTGTTGAGTAGCTTGCGACTCCCAGCGACCCTATACGAAATAGTCCTGAACACTGCTCTATTTTGTGCAAACCTTATTGTCTCTGACACAACTAACCCCATTACCCCAGTCACTGAATCATTGAGGGTCTTCATCACTTGCCTTGTCCCTACACACTCTCAAGCATGATGTCCATCTCCAAGGACTGGTTCATCCTTGCAACATACCCAAAGGATGTCAGGCGAAGCCTCGAAATGCTTGCCTCCAAGGAGCAGCCTGAAATCACCCTCTCCAGGATGAACTTGTTTGTTCTCCTGGCAGTCCATGGTATAATCAATACTCTTCTCCATCACCACAGCTCAAAGGCATCAATTCTCTTTCTTTCATCTCTATTCATTGTCCAGCTTTCTGATACATAGCAAATAATTGTGAAGACTATGGCCTGGTTCAGGCAAAACTTAATTTCTAGACTGCGTCATTGCTCTTCAGTACTCTGGAGAGGACTCACAATGCAATTTTTCTTTTTATCTCCTGGCTGCTGGTACCAGGAGTGTTTATTGTCGAGTAAAGGAAACTATATTTGTTAACAATCTCAGTCTCTTCACAGTTCATATTCTATCATATTTCTGCAAGGCATGATGTAGAAAAGATTGAAGTTGCCAATGATTTCTCCTTGTTTGGATCTCTAGTCAACACCCTTTTATACCAACACTCAAGATCAAATGTCATGCTGCATTAGGGAGATATGCTATTCAGAGACCTTTGATATCATCTTGTGATATAGCACAAGGTGTTAAGGAGCAATGATGCCAGTTTAAGGACTAGGGTGCACCTGATTAAGCCATTATCTCTTTTGTGATTTGCTCTACATAAGAAAATCGAATAATGACATAAATGACAGAAGAAATTATGCCTTTGTGTTGTGATGTTGGAGAAGAGTTCTGAATATCCCATGGATTGGAGGAAAAACATACATGTTTTGGAGAAAGGGCAAGCAGGGTATTCCTTAGAGGCAAGGATGATGAAGCTTCGTCTCTCTGGGCACATTATCAAGAGGAATCAGCTCCATTTTTTTTCCTCATGGAGCAGGTAGTGGTTTCAAACCACTGTCCTTTTGGTTAATAGCTCCTCTGTGGCATTACGCCACCAGTTCTTCATAGGATTTTTTCAGGGGCTAGTAAATAGTATGGTAGTCCAACCCAAAGGTTGATAGTTCTGAGGGAGAAAGACCAAGAGATACACTTCTGTAACAATTCTTGTTCTTAGGTTCCACTGAGTCAGATTTCACTCTCTATGTGCATCACAGTGCTGTGCTGGCTGGTCCTGCGCCGTCCTCACAGCTGTGGCTGTTCTACCCCATCGTGGCTTAGACTGCATCGCTCTGTCTCACTGAGCATCTTCCTCTACATAACCAAACACATGGGTCCCTCCTGATCACCTGTCCAAACGTCCATGAAATGAAATCTCATGATCCTTCTGTCTTTCTTTTTAATTAATTAATTTTAATGAAAGTTTACAGATACTTGGATTTTTCATACATTGATTGTTGCACTTTTCTCCCTCCCAATTCACCTAATTCACTCTAATCCTTGAAAAGTAAGAGAAGAACTCTTTCATTGTTATGCTATCCCTCACTCCAAGTCCACTCCACTGTGCAGCCTTCATTCTGGACTCCTGTCATGAAAATAATATCCAATCATATATC